TAGTTTTATAATTATGCATATATTTCGTACTTGGGAGAATATGACAAGAATCCTCACTTAGCACTCTTGGGATGTTGAAATATCGCTTACCTCCTTTAATAATTATAAAAAAAAATTATATTAACCCTCACTTGATTTATAATTCATATATCAAATAAATGGAGTTCAAAAAATTTGAAAAAACAAAGGCTTTCTTTGGATTGTGATTTTTTGTAGGAAAATTTTTACGTTTTCCGTGAATATATTTTCTAATCACTTTTTTATCTCATATATATCAAATTGTTACGGTATATTTTTCTACAAAAACTCCTAAAAATAACAATTCAAATAGGTTCAAAAATCACTTTCTTCTCTTTCTCCTTCTCTCCAACATCCTTTCTTACTCATTTTTTTGGATGGCTTTGTGATTTTTTATTTGTAAATAATAGTAAATTAAATTTTGTTTATCATTTACTTTTTGTGATTGTGATAGAATGGCGTATGATTTCTTTGTTTATTGTGAATTGATTTTTATAATGATTAGTACAACTTAAGGCTTGGACCACAAGTTGACAAGAAGTTGGGGGAAAAAAAATATAAGATTCATAAACAGTTGATTTTGAGCATATAGAATTAAATTGGTGCTAATGTACTTCTTTGCAAATATCTTTTTTATTTTTTAATTTATATTTTTATGGAGTATAACCTTGTGATAAAGTGGTATTACTAGATGTTGTTTTTTAAGTGGTGGTTTTTCTAGGAGTAAACAAACTGGCCTATGAGTATTTTTATTTAGCAAAATAAGCAAAAGAGCAGTTTAGGATTTTTAAAAATTTTATTACACAAATAACAAAAATAAAAAAGATAAGTGATATTTTTAAAATCTTAAAAGTGTTAGGTGATAATAAGAGAAACCTTGGGGAGGTTTCTGATATTCTCCCTTTGTACTTTCTACTACACCCATCTTTAAAAATTGTTGATGAGTGCTCTTAATCAAATTCTTTATTCTTCTTACAATTTCTTAATGCTACCACCTTTTTTTCCTTTATGATGCCTCCTGATATCCATCAAAGTACTGATTGTTAGCCTAATTAGTACTATCTTTATCCTTAACGGTTTCACGGGCCTCGAGAGCAGAAAATTGGTATTAGAACTGTTTTCAATTCACTAATAACTAACAAATTTGTCTCATTTGTCCTTCAAACACATTGTTAAACAGTTTAACTTAAACTAATCTGATGTATCCGACTTGACATTCCAGGATTCATAAAGCAAAGAAAAGTAACCTAAGGTCCTTTTTAGTTTGCCACATATCATGCATCAATTGTGTAAGCACCCCAAGAGCAAACACCAATTCAACACATTCAGTAAATTAATGGGCTCTGATCCAACATTTTGGTTTCCTTCATCTGATTCTACCTTGTTATTGACAAAATAATAGTTCAAAAAGATGGAACAAACTGGGTAACTGGACTGAGCATTGGTCGCTGAAGGCTGCCAAAATATTCATTTTGTTCAATTGACCACCAGAAATACTCTGAGCAACTCTATGTGGTCTTGGTTCTTTAGCCCGTTTGGATTGCTATTTCTTGAAGTTTTTTTTTTGTATAAAAATATACTATAATGATTTGATATACATGAAGTATTCATCAGCGTGTAATTTAGATTGACTCAGTAACCCTCTAAATCCTTTGATGAAAATTCTTCTGGAGTAATCTTGGCTGATGCTTATTCTAATCCTACAAGGATTTATATGAACACACATGTAAAGTTATCTTAAAATAATCTTCTGCCGTTAGAAGAGAACCAATTAATATATCATACACCCAAATCTGGTGGGATCAATGACTTTCATTGATCACATATTACTGCTAAATCTGTCATCTTTGTCGAGTTTTTGCATATGTACCCCGCATTATTATTATTTTAAAAACATTTTAATGCACTAAAGCATTGACGAATTGTGGTTAGTTATAAAACGACTTAATGCAGCTCTTGTGGCCATGGACAGAGAGTTAGCTACACATTAATGCCACTTTGAACAAAAGCTAAAAGGATTTACGGTTAAAGATTATTATAGAGTCCTAATCACATGGTGATGTCTCATCGGATTAAGCAACAAGTCTCATTCAACAAGCGTATGAATCTGCTAAAGGTGCATGAATATGAATGCTAAAGTCAGAAAAAGAGGAGAACAGTTGCCAAAGTTTGCTAATATGAATGCTGGCATGAATGTTTTCCATCAAACCCTCAAAGGATGGAGCTAAAGTCTGCTAAAGTTAGAGGTGCATTAATCATCTTGTGATAGAAGCAGAAGTCATTCTATTTTGAGTTGAAAACGCCATATGTGGACAAAATGTTTCTTTAAAGAAACCATCAAAGTCAAGACTTGAAGTGTTAGAGTAGTCATCCTTTGTGACCCAATATTTTCTTTCCTTTGGACAACTGGATTAGCTAGGATATCTTCTTTTTTTTTTTTTTTAAGTATAAGCTGAGAATAACTTGGCAGTGTAAATTTAAGTGTACGTGTACAATGGAAAGTATTTTTTTCTCTAAATATGCCATCAGGGTTGTCAAGAAATCTATCTAGCAAAGTCCAGAACAAGAAGAAAAGAATTCACTTGCATCATTGCCATATAACTTGAATAATAACCTGCATATTCTGGTAATTTTGCTCCAAGTTAAAATTTATAGTACCAGTGAAAAAAGATTTACTGCGACTCTGGTTGATAATTTGTTATTAAATTTTGTTTGTTCATGACCAATTTTGTATGACTATTAGGATTATTAATTTAGACAAGTTTTTCAATTGGTTCTTACCCAGACACAAATTGGTTCAGTCCCAGTTGGTAAATTAACAATTTCAGAAGTGTTTTCAGTTCTATGACATCAACACAGTTACATAAAATAAATTCATGAGGAGCCCTCAACTTTCTCCAACTGCTGTAATGCCCCATAACTCCAGTACTTACTTTGATTTCAAGGAAGCCAATGAGTTGGATCTTGGTCTAATCTGATCAATTCTTTTGTAATACTTTTCTAACTTTCATAACCAATGAATCACTGACATGGTCCACAATATAAAAACTTGCATATGATTCATTGGATAAACCCCACTTCCATTGACTTGAAGCAAATCTGATTTTTGACCTTTTCTCATTGCTACCAAACACAAAAGTCCCACTTCATTTCTGAATCTGTCTATACCATATCAGAGTTGTAGTAATATGACTCAACTGAATTTCCAATACAAAACAGCATCACATTGATCATAAAAAGTGCAGCCACTAACCATTACCTAATAAAGAAGAAATATAATAGCAGCATTTTGTTATAGTGCTGAAGGCTTTGGTGCAATTCCCAGCAAACAACCTTTACACCTAGTCACACACTACAGGGACATTACACATGGGTTTTGGGAGTTTTAGTCAACTAAGATTCAGCAGATTCGCTGTATGGCACTTAATTATCAGTGGCCCATATGTGACAATTTTAGGTAGTCTTTGCATCATTTCATTTCTGGCAGTAGACTAATTACATCCACAATTGTTGTTTTAGGATGCATTGCTTAATTTTAGACATGTTCACCAAGCATATATTGCAAGATCTGGGTGTAAAGTTTCACTTCTAGTGGGGGATGCAAAAAAAGGTAGTAATTATTCAGGAACTTGAAATTTAAGAACTGTGTAATCCATTGGGGTCTCAAAGAAGCTTTAATCTCAACGAAGAAGATTGGTGGGAATGAGTATTTGCATTTCTTAAATGGGCATATTATCCTCCATTATGGTAGTGCTACTTGATTGGAACAACTCAATTTAGTCGACAAGGACTTATTCGTTCTCATTAGTTCCAAACACCACTTGTCCTTGAGCTGTTGTTGACATCAATTAATTAAGCTAAAACTGTTTTGTCATCAACTAGTGGCATCAACTGTTAATTGTGATTAGAGCAATATGATTTCTTTTGTCATCAATCCCATAGTACGGTTTCTTGGAAGAGCTGTTTTCAATTCATACGAGAGCCAATGGCATACTATAAGAAATATAACAGCACTTTATTAGTCCATTTTTTGTGGTCACAGAAGATAAACCTTTTAATAGTTGTCATATCAATGAAGGGAGCTCCACGCAATGAGGACATGACTTTTGAGGTCTTATCTTGATTGTATAGTGACTAATAATAAAGCTCAAACTTGTTTAATTGTCCTTAGCGGGACGATCATTATTTTTTCTTCATATGATTCTGAATGCGTTTGATAAAATTAAAATTTGAAATTTGAATATATTAAATTGTTAAATTGTTAAGTATTAAAATCTTAACATTTAAGCATATTTTGTATTAAGTAATAAGTAAGTAACTGATCACTTATTCTTTGGAATAAATTTTGTTTAAAAAATACAATGCCACTTTGTTAATTAAAATGTTCTACTTTTGATTTTCAAACTTATTTGAATATGTCAAAATCTAAATTCATTAATTTTAAATGTTAAATTGAATTATCAATCAGGGATATATAGATTATAGTGTCAAAAAAGGGATTGTTCCAAGTATGAAAACCCCAAGATTGTCAAAACGCCTTCTGACTTATGGTTCCAATGTTAGAATTGACCTTTTCACTTCACAATGGCACTTACTTTGTGGATTTGGATGTTGCCTTACTTGGAAGTGGACATATAAATGGATACCCATCACAGATGCAAATTTTATCAGATCATATTAATACATAGATACATTGAAACACCGTTAAGACTTGAGAGAAATCAAAATTTTATCAAGGGCCATACAGATGCAAATTTTCTGTGGCTAGAAAAGTTTGAAAATTTTTCAGATCATATTAATCTACTCAATTTCTATCCTTTAATGGTAATCCCACTTGACAAGTAGAACCTACATTTAACGTTGTACCACAAAATGCATGCAAGAAAACCAGTAGCAAATGACAACAGGAGCATAAGAATCAAATGAAAAGAACATCACTGAAGAGTCTAATTAGAAAGGCATAATTAGCTTCTGGTTAGTCATTTCTTTGAGCAGCATCTGCCCCAAAAATAGTAATAAGATGAAGTGCAAGATAGGCAATGGTCTTCTGAGCAAAACTTTTTCCATACAACCACCTGAATTGGCATAAGTACAATTTACACATAGATATCCAAGACAAATACCCTTCTCTACATATGGTCTACATTGTGGAAATTACCCTCCTGAATGGTTCATTTGCTTTGGACCTCCATTTGCTGAGCTAACGGTACACTAATAGAGCAGTAATTTGTTGGTTTAAGAGGAAAGTGGTAAGCAGAAGAACTAGTGGAACAATAGGTTGAAAGCTGGCAGATCTTGTATCTTATGCACATCTTCTAAAGACAATTCTCTTTCCAATTGTATCCTGGTTACTCGTAAAACCTCCTGAAGTGATTAAACAGAGAAAAGAAATAGATTTAATAGTCTTACTCCACACAGAAACATGTGTTTTATTTCTGGAATATCTGGACCCCAAATCAAGATTAGTAAGTGAAGGCTGCAGAAGCAAACAGATTGATCAGCCTTGGTTTTAACTGTAGTACCATGCACATCGATCCTTAGACCTTTATCATCCTTTAAACAGGAATGCAAATATCAGCCACCTTAATGGCTTTATAATATCCAAGACTGTAATGGCGAATGCTAGATCAAGCAATATATGTAACCAAGAAGCCAATTCATCGTTTAGCATAATTTGCACCTCAGTTGGAATTTCAAATTCAACAGAATTTTTCCTGAAAAGACATGAGATTGAAAATTACCTGCTATTTGAGACAGAAGGAAAAAACTCATTGCACTCAAATGTGGCAATTGTTATGAGAAAAAGGCATCCATTAGTGCCATTGAGGTCAACTATAACCAATTTGGCCTTGTATTCTTGCTATTCTTTTATTCTCTTCAAGACTTAATAAATGAAAATGACACGCTCTGCTAAGCCTTCATCAGGGTTATTTATACCGAAGTATGATCATGAATTGAATTCATAAAAAAATAAAATAAAAATCATCTTAACAATTTCTTGTGCAATGACATGTAAAAGCAGTGAATAGATACATCTGAACAAAATTGGGAGGTAGAAGCAACAAAAATAAGTGAATAATGCCAAAAAAATCTTGTTGTTTAACTCTTAACTATTTCTATATACAACTGAAATCGAACCATTTAACCATTTTGTTAGCATAGGAAATGAGATTATAAAGCCTAAGTGCAAAAGTTAGTCTAGCTTGTTGCCAAATTAGTTATATTAGGATGGAATATGAAAGCCGTCTCAGGTTTTCCAATGTAATTGCTTTTGCTGAGCAAGGCATTTTGAGAGAGAGAGAGAGAGAGAGAGAGAGAGGAGAGATACATACATTGAAGTCCATATACGAAGCATGCATTGCAAGCCATTGCGCATCCATCATTGCAAATGCTATACAATATAGTATATCAAATGCCTCTTTATCTTCTGCAATCGTGCAAATTAAAAATTTTTTCAGATAGTTACAGTGCAAATTCAATCAAGCAACCCAATTCATGAAGCATTGAAATTCATATAGTTTACATTGCTACTAATTACCTCCCAACATTTTGATGAAATTGACTCCTGGAAGGCACTTAGGTTTCGCTGCATTGAACAAAAGGTTAATTAGAGTCAAAACGCACAGTTCCTTTCTGTTTTTCTGCTGGAGAAAATGGCAATGAAACTCTAGAGCTGAAACAATCTTTAATGGGGTGCATTTCCAAGTAACTGGGAAAGCAAGCAGACAAATGCAATTTGACAAGTAAAGATGGAGATATGAGGTAGGAAATTCATCTCTTGGTATAAATATGTTGTGCCTAAATTTGTATTCTTTTACATACCTGAGTATAAATCCAACATTTGGATCAGCATAAATGATACATTAATTCCAGCAACAGCAAATGGGTATTCCCACTTAGCACGTTCTCCAGTTTGCTTGAATAGCAACCTATGAAAAGAAGCCTTCATTTTGAATTATACATTATTAGTAAAAACTCATCATTATTTCAATAAACTACAATAGGACTATCCCTATTCAGCAGTCAATGCTTTGTGTAGCAGCAGCCAAGCAACCATACCGGATAAGTTCTTCCGAAAAACAATAAATTCTCGAGCGAAATGAAACCACAACCCCTGGGATCAAGAAAAATTTTTTTTTTATGAGAACATACTTTCTGACAATAAGAATGCAGCTTTACAAGCAAAATATAAGGATCTAACTCCGTGCCAAAATCAAGTAGTTTATTACATCAAAAAGCAAAGGAAGAGAAGGATGTGGATTAAAGAAAATACGTAAAACCAGATTACATTCATAGAGCAAGCAAACAAGTAAACTATTTCTAGATCTTACCTGGTCCAATGATTTGTCATAATAAATTTTACCTAATGAACATCTTTCAAGGTGAGGAAACTTCCATTTATCAACTAAACATAATTCTGTTGCAGAGGTAGGAAAAATAAGCTCCTAAGTGTGCTCAAATTGTACAAGAAAACGTATCGTACTAGCAAAAATTTGGGAAAATGAATAAACAATTTCTTTGAAGAAATCTTTCCAAACACAGTCATCGAGATGTTTGCTAATAAAGACCAAGAACAATGTTGAACAGTTGAACAGAAGAAGCCAAGTCTTCAAACGCAAGTATTCTTTAGTCCGAGAAGCATGACACATTAATCATTGTCCAAATTTAAGGAAGCTAAAATTTACCAAATAAATCAAGTCCCTTTCATGGATATCCTTCTTCTTCCTCACAGTATATGTATTTCGTCTTAGCGTAAGTCATCTTATCATTCAAATTACTCTAGCAAGAAACCAATATCGAAAAATCAGAAGTTTACCTGAAGTCTGTAGCTGGGTTCACTCCTTGCCACCCCATATCCTTCCACTGATCAGAGATTAAGCCTTTGAGCTTAACGTTGGGAAATGATAAGTCCCACAAAGCACGGAGAGCTTGCTGGTAGTAGAACCATCAGTATCAAAATGTTAGCTTGTTAAATTTTCTGAGTTCTAGAAGCTAACAATACGGACATCCCCAGTGAACTATTAAAGCACGATAACTGTAAGATAGAGCTATTGAGAATCTGTATAATCTTATTCATTCAGGATATAATAAAGCACTAGTTTTTGGAAAAGATAGTAAAAGGAAAGAGAAAGGAATTGGGGGTCATCTGTCCACCTGTAATTTTTTGTAAGAGGCACAGACACAAAATAATAGACTATATCCGCAAATGTAAACAATACTGGTACACAATCTGCTATTTATTGGAACATCAACTACATAAGTCCAGCATTATAACAACCCTAAAGTAATTGAAATGAACACAGAAAAGAAATTGGAGGAACACTACATCTGATAAGAATGTAATGGAAGCGATACCTGATGATTGAAGCAAGTCTCATCAAAAGGTACTCCAATCCGTTCCTGAAGGTTTCGAAGACTCTCTTCCTGTAGACAGTTTGAAATGAAGATGTTATTTTTAAGGCACAAAATTTCTCCTTTGTCAATGTTCAACTTTCTCTTGTTTATTTCTTAATCATATGACAAATTTGTGCCCTTAAAGCAACATGAATCTCACAAGTAAGACTTTTAAATCCCTCAAAACAGTAACCAGAAAAGGTTTTAGGAAACATATTTACACGTAAAAATGTTTATAAACAAATAAAACAAATAAAGATACCAAAAGAGGGATACATGTGAACAGGAAAAAGAGGCTGATGAATCAGATTTGCCCTAAAAGACTGGTAAAAGTTTTGGTTTTTCAATTAGGAACTCACCTGATGAGGACTAAAATTATAATAAAAAAATCTGCCACTTCCAAACCTTCTATTGGTTGATCGACTAAAAATTCCTCCTATCCATGCTCGTGGACCAACCATAGCATTAGCTGTAAAGATCGAGACCTGGAGTCAATATATGACTAAAATTAATCTAATCTAAAATTCAGGAAATTTGTGCACAAGAAGATATAAGGGCTATATGTAGAAGTTCACGTCCAAAACTAATTGAAGGACATTCACGTATCAATTGACGCATGTCATTACTACACAATGTTGAAATTATATTGTACTGTTTTCTGTAAGCTCCGGCTGCAAGAAGACACAGCATGTGAACTGCATGAGAATTCCTCTTTTGCACAAAACTTGGAACATGCCTTGAACCAATTTCAGAAATCAGAACTGAGTTTTGATATGGTGGTGCTGACAGTAGTTTGCCCGGGAGGTTAGGAACCTAGGTAGACAAACAGTTTAGCTTTTCCCATGAGGACTTTATTTTGAAGAGATACATGCACTGTCTGAGTCATCTAACCAAAAACTTAAAGCCACCAATCCATACCATCTCTTGTCAACATCTTTTAGTAGAGGGTATTTCCAATTGACATGGAAGCACAAATTCTGCAATAGCGTTCATTTGGATGTTGCAAAATTCAGATGAAAAATGAACTACTGTATTCGCCAATCATTCCTTTCACATCAGAGATGAATAGAATCCACAATTCCAAACAGCAATTGTTTCCAATTATATCAGGCAGGACTTTGTTTAGGAACAGAAAATGATAAATAAGAATTCCACATAACATCTGATGAATATCTTGTTATGAGCAAGTATTGAAATTTTCATTATGTTATGATTCTGGTGAGATTGGGAGATTGCATTCTTAGAGTGTTTCTATATGTGCTTAGGAAAACATGTTTTTACAAATAGAACTGTCATAAGGTTGCCTCACAAATGCAGTGGGCTCTCTCAAGTCGTAGATGTTTTTGAAGCAGACACTCTATCCTAAACACTGCCTGGGAGCTAAATTCACATCTGGAACCAATTTTGAACATCAACCATCTAATCTCACGCTCAATGAAGAATTTTGCATTGTCTTGACCCAACGCCCTTTAAGGTAGCAGTATCTAATTTTTGGACTCAGATTTGACTAGTACAATGCACAAAGTTCCAAAATCAGCTTGAGGTAACCAACAAGACCGACAAATACTGTTAGAACTTGCAAGAACCAGGAAGCAAATATACATAGATTTCTGAAGCTGTAACTTCCTATTTTTCAAAAGTGAATGGTTGTCTATGTTATTGATTATGATCTCATATGACCTTTGCTAGCTGATATGGATTGTAAGAGGGGAATCTCAACCTTCTGGCTTTCCTTGACTCAAGAAAGTAAATGTTGTCCTCCAAAGATGATACATTATTCACCCTCTTCAAGCTAATATTTCTAGGCTTCTAGCCAAAACATTTCTTCATCAGAATGCGGGAAGCTTCTGATCTCCAGGACCTGGTATATGAATCAAAGATTTGTTTCTTATAAATTCTTTTTCCTAGATGAGTTGGTATCTCTGAGGAAAAGGTGCAGGCCAAATTTCTGGATCTGACGTTTTAAATGTCTTAAATGAAAGCTTCCTATTTTTATCAGCTACTCAAAGACTGCAATGACAGTACAAACTAAGCAAAATATAGAGGGAAAGCCATAAAAGGGTATCCTCCAGTGATTTTGAAGCAGTGAAGACAGTAGAGGGAGAGAAAAAAGATATAAGGAAGGCAAAGGCTCATGAAAGGACGGAGACAAATAGGAGGATGTGGAGCAGAACTTTGATATGAAGAGACATAGAAACAAAGGAAAGATAGGGATCCTTTATAGAAACTATTCAGGGGCAACACTTAATTGAGTGAAAAACTTATACTCACTGAAGCACTGAGCTAATTGTGATATTGCACGAGGAGAATTAGGTGACAATGCTGATTCTTCATCCTGCTTCTTTGCATCCCAATAAATTTCATCTTCGTCAACCTGGATTCATAAGCCTGTTTAAGTACAAAGTGGATGGTATGACCATGAATAAATGCTTATTTCAATACAATAAACAGGATGAATACTCTCATGATTGTAATAGCTTATAAATCCCTACCTACCCCCATTCAAAAGTACAAAAATGAGAGAAATTTGAACCTAAAAAAGCTAATTGGCCTCAAACTAATGAAGTTAATGAAGATTTGCGCACCCAAAATGTATTAGTTCTGACTTTTCTAGGCGTATGCATTGGCATGATCAGATAAATAGTCAATTATGCCAAGCAAAACACATAAAAAGCATTATCTGCACGGATTTTCATGCCAAAATAAGCTTCCATCAAATGAGATTGGTACTTTAAGAGCTAACATCTTTAGCAAAATTATGAATTAAATATGAGAATTATAATAAACGCATGGAAAAGGGATCCGTTTATATACAGAGAGGCTTGCTTATATAAGCAATAAAAGAAAAGTTTACACTAGAGCATCAAAACTAGTCCACAAATAACGATCAGCTGAACTGACAAAAACAAGATAGAGATATCAGGCAAGAAGAACAATAAATTGAAGCAGAATGACTCATGTGCAACTAAATGAACAAGCTTCTAATCATTAACACAGCTTCAATTCACTAACAAAGTAATTTGTGATCTCATTCTCCAAGAAAAATATAAATCAATGACGGAGTAGAAGCCGAAGCTTACTCTACGGTGAGATGCACAAGAAGGTATGTAATGCCTACGCCTTAATCTCATCAGAGACAAAAGTTGGTGAATCAAATTCCACCACCCTTTATAACCAACAAGAAAAGGTTATCTAAAATAATGATGAAAAGATCATCATAATTATTGTACCGACCCACGCATGCTCCTATAATTCAACCTCACATCATTACTAAAATCTCTCTCTTGCTCCTTAGCTCCCCTATGCTAAGTATTCATGTTAGCCACTCACCACAACAGATTGTGCAACAAACTCATCAATAAGAAACTTTGAAATTTCTGCTTTGACTTCTTTTTCCAATTGATTGGCTTACTGCACTAAAAAATTCTATTAAAATATCCCTAGACGCGTTCAGATTCTCCAGAACCAATTCTTGTTTGGAGCCGAAAAGGGAAAAAGGTGAAATGTTAGGATTTCACATGTTAAGGGAAGATTGACAGCGCAATTAAAGGGTACCCTTTTTGTTGCATTAACTTTATTGGAGACAAACAAGAAAAGTTTTTCAAAAGAGAAAAGGCAAAGCATGCATGAGTATTATGTAATGCACCCATTATACACATTTCCATGAAACAAAAAGCCAAAGAAAGCACATGCAAACAGATGCATGGATCATTTATGCTATAAGATTTAAAGGGGTGGAGAGAAAAAGTTACCTTTTAGTCATAGCATAATAGATGAGAGGTGAATGAAATTCTTGTTCGTTGATGATTTGTTCGGTGACAGTTTGAGGAGGTGTTGATAGTTGGGCCCCAGTTGGGAGGAAGTGGTGGGGCTAGAAATGGTGGAGATGATGGAGGAGGATAGGGATGAAGGAGGAGGAGGTAAGCACCGCAGCAGAAAAGGGCAGGGGTGTTGGGGGGGGAAGGGTTGGTGGTGGGGTGCTATGGGAAGAAGAGCAGGAGGAGTAGTGATCTGATTTTCTGATTTGCCATTAATGGCATTCTAAAACCAGTCATGTCGCTGAAAGTCCGCGAAATCCGGTTGCAGTTCTTGCCGATGTGCTAACGTTAAATTCCAAAGGTCAACTGAAGTTGACCCCAATCCCAATGTTGGAAATGAAGTACGGAATTAAGAAATGTTATTCGCGCCCCATTTTTTGTTATTTGCACTACTATTATTTATTTCATTATATGACCTAATAAATAAAAAATATATAATTAAAGAAAGGAGGAAAAAGAAATACAAAATTCAAAAATTTCTTTGTTCAAAATCATAAGAATCATAGCAAACATTATATTAAAAGAAATGTCTAGTTTGTATTGTTAAATCTTGTGATCGTTAGTGTAGTTTTGTTATTTATTTGTGGTCTAATTTATTAAATGTAAATTTTTTGAGTGGTGAAATGTGTGTATTAATTATTTATAACTTTTAATTATTATTATTCTTTTACTAATACACTTATATACATGCACAAGAGGTATTTATAAAATAAAAGTTTCATTTCTCTTTTTAAAGTAATTTTTTAATATTACTTTTTCTAACTAAACTAATTTTGTTATCAAAACCTTAACCTTGGGGGAGGTTTGTATAATTTTGTAAACTTTAAGGAAGACTAGTGAAATAGTCAGAAATCTCAAGGGAGGTTTCCGAAATTATCCCTAAAATAATACTAGGAGTGAGATTAACAAAAATGGAAACGCAAATATATTGTAGAATACATGCAGTAGATTGTAGAAGGCTAATTCGGCCTATCCATACAACCTAATTTAAAAAAAAAAAAAATTGGTGTGGATACAATTAATTTACCAACATTGGTGGATCCATCCATACAATTGTAACTCAACAACATTAATTAGAACAAACTTACATCTAATTTAATCCATCCATACAATTGTAGAAGGTTTTTTTTCAAGATGAATACAGATCTTATTCCTCACCCTCCCTTTAGATTTTGAATAAATCAATATATTTTTCTTAAATTTCTAAAGTTTTTTTTTTCACAAATAAAAATGAATTTCCTTTTTAGGAATAACTTGATACCATATTCTCTAGATTAATTTTATGGAAAAATATTTTTTTGTTAGTATTTGTTTAGCATGTCAAGAAAAAGGAAATGATATTGACACTCCAAAAAAAAAATTTCCGGACACTCCTCCCTTTCTCATTATTGTTGAAAATGATATAAACACCCATACTCTAGAATCTCTAATAATTTAAATGTCAAAGTTATCCTCAAGGCTAGCTTAATAACTATTTCACCTTATTTTTATAGAGATCTCTATACTATTGACTACAAAGTCTTTATTTTTTTTCCAAAAAATAAACCTCCAACATGATGTTATAAAACTCCACCAAAAAAATAATGAACAGACCAAAATAACAAATAATTCCAAAACACAAAGTCTAGTACTTTACTCAAGAACTACTAAACAATTGATCATCGGTATTAGGAATTCTCCATCATTTGTTGTTGTAAAACAGTATAAGTTTAATTTAAGAGTAGGGAAAATTAAGTGAATTCAAAAGATAAAGTAGGGCAATTTTATCTCCCAAGATATTTTATAGGAATTTTTTTGAGTACTAATATCATTTGCCCAAAAAAAATCATGTTGCATTTTCTATACAAGAACATTTCTATTTCTTGTTATTATCTTCTATTATAATCTTATTGATTATTGGGTCAAATAAACCATGGACAAAATAATAATAAAAAAAAACTGCAAAGCATGGACATTTAAGTAAGTTTGATGCACTAACTGTAGCTTTGAGGTGCCACATTTATTTTAAACTCTTGAGAAAATTAAATTACTCACATCAGGTAATAAATTCTTATTTTGCAATTACATTTTGCACTTGAATTCCAGATTCAAGCATGACTTTAGATTTGGAATCCACTTTTGGCTCACGAATCTTGTAAATAAATTGACACAAATTAAGGGATTTTCTTTTCCATAGTAGATGTAGCATTATCTATGATTTCTCATTTATATATTTATTTATTTTAACTATTTGATAATGTATCCTTTTACAGTGTGAAGGCAACATGGGCTCTGGTGCCTTCCGTTCCTTTGAGAAATTCTCATTTTCCATCATTTTCATTTGGGTAATGCTGTATGACCAATTCTACAGAGGGCTTAAAATTTCAAACAAAAGATATTTTTGGGACAGAAATGCCCATACTTTAGCTGACACCTACGGGCCCATACGATCATTTTGACTTCAATTCCCACTTTGCCAACAACTCTAGAACGTGGAGGGCTTAACTAGTTAACTGATAAAAATTTAAATTTTATTCTAATTGAAGGCTATCAAGGGTTGAAAACGCTTTAATTATAATAACTAGTTTGAAGGGTACACCCGATATGCGTGCAATTAGGGAGCAATTAAAATGAATCAATTTTGTATAAAATTGTCTGTCACATACAAAAAAATTTGTATAAAATTTTAATGACAAAAACTTTGGTTTATGTGATTATAGTAATTTGGTAGTTACAATATGTAGGGTGATTATGAATAGTCATATTGGCAAAATATGATTAAGTGATTAGGGTAAAAATTAATTTTTATAAGGGTAAAATTCAAAATTCAAAAGATGACAAAAAATATTTACATCATCAACCGCTAATGCTCAAGCATTATATATTGGGATAATTTCAGAAACCTCTCCTGAGGTTTCCTACAATTTCACTCGACTCCCTTGAGGTATATATAATTACGGAGACCACTCTTGGTGTGATCAAAAGATAACAATAATGCCCTTTATTAATTGTCAACTCATTGAAAAACTCTATGATCAAATATTAAAGTTCTCTCATCTATTATCAACCAATAATTCAAAATATAGTTTTTCTCATTTAACTATCTATGTTCTTCCTCTTACATCTATTTTTCTTTCAAACTCATTTATTTATTATTATCAATCAAATGTGTACTGTCGCCATTAATAAAATCACCATACACACCAAACCATCAATACTTACCTATGTTGATATCTATTCCAAATTATTACTTTTCCATTATTATTAAATAGTTTCCTTGCGCCCATTTTTGTTTCCAATTTTTGATAGACATTACCAAATTGAAATTGTCAAATGATAAATTGAGTGCTAATTTCATACCAACCTAGATAGAGATGAAGATAGTGGTAGTGATAGAAAATAAAAATTAAGGATAGGAAGTGGAATGGGGACTAAATATAGGTTGTACTATTATGGTTGTCATGAAAAAAAGGGTTCCTAGTGTATATTTAAAACTACATTATGTTTCTATTTTTTAGTTACAATTATTGATATTATTCCCGTAGAGAGAATTTGATTGATTTTGAACTCTGTGCCAATGGAGTATATTAGATATTGATATTAGTAGTGATGACTAAGATTATTTTGTATTAAAAAGGTGGCAACCATGGAATTGAAATTTAGGGATATTGATGAATAGTGTTGTGTATTAAGTAAAATTTGATATTGATATGAGATTGTAGGTAAGTTTTTGAGTATCTAATGTAGCGTTTATAGTTGATACAATGGTCTACATCAGAAATTTTTAGGTAAAAGAAGAACATTAGACAAAAATAAGTGTTTATTTAATGGTGATTTAGATGTTGATGGGGTAGGTAATACTGTAATAGTGATAGCAGGTAAAAATAAAATGAAATAGAGACTGTGAATCATTTTTTTTCCTTTCCATTTTTTGTTGTCAATTATAACTCAAGGGTATTATAGAATTTTTGAGAAAAAGTATAGCCTTTTGGGCCTAGAATGTTACTTAAATAGTTTTGGAATTATGAGGGAGGTAGGTGTAATTTTTAGAACTTGAGGGGAGCTTTTTGCAATTGTTAAAACCCTCAGCGGAGGTATGTGAAATTAACCCTTATATATTGTATAGATGATGAATAATAATAGTAATAATAATAATAAACAATATGAAAGGAGAAATTAACCTAAAATTACAACTAGATGCTCTTTGATTACATAAATAGCCTATCCCATGTCAAAAGTTCACATAGAGAACCTTAGAAAAAGGGAAGTAAGAGAAATATAAACCAAGCAAAAAATGCTACCACTATATTTTACAGATCCATGATTGAAGAGAGCCAGAGACCCTAGTGTTAAACCAACTTACAAAATATCCACCAAAAAAACCTACTGATTAACTAACTACCTACAGAGTAAAGTGCTACACAAAAAATATTAGTGATCATGGAACAGGATATGACTTGTTGTGGCACATGCACTTATAAGCCATGGGACACGTCTCAGCCTCCTCAAGTGAAGCACAAACAAAGCTAACCATAACCAATCTACAGGGGTTACAGGATCCACAGGCATGTGAACAATCAGGTAAACTTGATCCAGCAATTTGCAGGGTGTCAGCTCTCTTGTGCATCATTGGCCTTCTATCCCAGTACTTTTGTGGTGTAACAAATCCTACCGCTTTTCTGCTAGCCACTGTTGCATGGTGGTGCCCATGGCCTGTAATTGAGACACAAAACTCAACACCATTAGCAGAATACCACCATAAAACTGCTACTACCAATCATTAATTGTATGAAGAACTAAGGTATTGAAAATTAGCTGACAAAATTTGTCCCTAAACTAAATTGGCTCTAGCATGCTCCTGCGCTCGCGCTTA